GCCCACAAAATGCCCCAAATCAGTGCCAAAACAGGCCCAAAATGGTGCCCAAATTGTGTCAAAATGGTGCCCAAATTGGTGCCACAAATCAGTGTCAAAACAGTGTCAAAATGGTGCCCAAATTGTGTCAAAATGATTCCAAAGTGGTGCCAAAACTGCCCAAAATCAGCCCACAAAATGCCCCAAATCAACACCCGCAATGACTCCAAAACATTTGGAATGTTTAGTTGTATAAATGCAAAAGTAAAGTTAAGGTGTAAGACATGTAAAAGCTTAGAAATCGTTTGGCATGAATTGTAACATCTCGTGGCAATATAAGATTTAAGTTTAGGTGCTAGATATGTAAATACATGAGGCAATTGAGTGGTATGTATGTAAATGCCCTTAAAGGTGAAGTAGTTCAATAAAATTCCCTCCTTCAAAGTGATGATAGATTTTATCAAGAAGACTCAAAAAGAAGTTTTGATTCACTGAATCGTTCCGTAGAACAATACCCGAAGGATTGTAATTGCTTTATTTGAACATATTGCTTCATCCAGGCTACACAATAATTATTTTCTTACTTTCCAAGCTTAGGAGCAAGCACAGTGGTTACCTCTAAGCAAGTCCACAACATTCATTCAACATGTAAAAAAAAAAGTAATTCTCAGCTATTTAAATCAGACGCTTTAAACTTAATTATCGTGCCTCAAACTAAAACGAAATGTGATTGTTAAAGTTTACATCTATCTCAACAAGCATAATAGATGCACATTAAAATCTTACAGAGAAAATCAATCCATGAGAATAAGCCGCGACTAATTTTTCAAATCTTATTGGCAGAGCTCCGATTACCAGGTCTCCGAAGGTGTAATGGTTTTGGAACCGAAGCCTTGCTGCTTCGCCTACTATTGACGCCGGGCGCAGTAGAGGAGGAAGACCAACTGTAGCTTGCAAGAGCTGTCTCGCACGAAGCAGAAATCGATCCCTGACCGAACAATTGAAAGGAGAGAGAGGCAGGCTCGAGTGGTCTAGAGAGACGGAGCAGGTGAGGTTTTCAGTCGCTCGTGGTTTCTGGTCGCAGAGAGGAGGAAAGCGGGGTTTTGGTCGCAGAGAGGAGGAGAGCGGGGGTTCTGGTTGCGCGAGGAAAAGAAGTAGGCGAGGCCATGGTTCGGAGAGGAGAGCAGGCGAGCGAGGGTTTCTGTGCGGGGAGGCGAGCGAGTGCGGGGTCAGTCGCAAGGAAGAGAGAATTATGGTTGGAAGGTGAGGCGCGAGGGTCAGTCGCGAGGAAGAGAGGATTATGGTTGGAAGGTGAGGGGTGAGGGTCAGTCTCGGTGCAGAGAAGAGGAGACGAGGCAGGGGTCTTGAGCGGGCGTCTTTGGCGAAGGGAAGAGAATACGAGACAGGTAGGGTTGTTCGGCCAGGAGGGAGGCAGAAGCAGGAGAGTCGAACGGGAAGAAGAAGGGAGGCGAGCGAGTGCGGGAGGGGATTTCGGAGCTTCGATCCAGGAAGGAAGAGGCGCGCAGGAGCTTCGATCGGGAGAGGGAGACAAGCGGCTTGGTTTGTTTGGCGTGAGCAGGAGACGGGATCAAGAGGGGTCTCAGTTCACAGAAAGGAGCTAAGGCCTTCGACAAAGGGAAGAGGAGACCGCGCTGGAGAGTTGCGGGGGAGTGCTTCAAGCAGGAAGAAGAGGCGGGGAAAAGTTTTCAGTGCAGCGACGAGGTGAGCGGGTCAAGAAGAAGGGGACGAGGCGAACGTGAGAGCTTTGGGTCTGTGTGGAAGAAGCGAGGGGATTTCGGTGCAGAGGAGAATAGGCGAGCGGGAGAAGAAGAGGGGAGCCGAATGCCAGGAAGGTGAAGAAGCGAGGGGATTTCGACGGAGAATTGATCGGTTTCCCTGAGCGGAAGCGGAAGTGACTTAATTGGAGATTAAACGATGAATTTCAAATTTAAAGTTTGAAATTCAAACTAATATAAGCTGAGGCAATTGGCGTGTGTTCTGTCCGATTCGAACTCGAGTCGAATCTGGGTTGAGACCGGGCCCTCGGCCGCTTATAAAAAAATGTGCATCAATTTTCGTATTGTTTGTGTGTGTTGTAACCATAGCAATATGGGTGTCCCTTCTAGCTAAAGTCGACGTTCCAAACGTGTCAGCATTATCTGTTTCTTCATCCGAACAAGTTTGCCGGCAATTAGGTCAATTCAAGTCAATATCGTGTGAGGTGCAGTGAGTGCGTAAATTGCGGTGTTCGCGAGTATTTGAGCCATGGAGGGTTCATCTATGGTCGTCTCATGCAGTAGAAACTCATTTTCGGGTCATCTACATGTTAGTCCTTAGCCCTTGAAACTAAAAGTTGAGTGCTTGGGACTTCTCATGTGAGGTCTACACAAAAATAAGTCAAAAAATAGTTTGAATTTCCATGGGAGGTAGGCTCTATTACTATTCCGCTAGTATGGTCAATAAGGAACTTTTAAAATTAGATCTTGGGTTCTAAGAGTAGGAGGTCAATAATGGGTATCTAAATTACTCTGCTATCCAGGTTAAATTGAACCAAATGAGCAATTCATCGAAAACTAAATGGAACACTGCGAACATAAAAAATAAAAAATAAAAAAAACAAAAAAAATAAAACTCTGCATGTATAGAATCGACATATATTACTGCAATAATCTCGAAAAAAAAAATATACGGAAAATATTACATTGTCGGAATGTAGAATGTAATTACTACATTCCAAGAAGAAAAGTATACCTTGAAATTCCTGAAGCAGAGACCATAAAACCAATTGATGAGCCCGCAAAGAGAAACTGACCAGTGCTCAGTATCAACCCGTCGATTGTGCCCGGGCTTCCAACCACAATCTTCATCTCCTCTTTGTCTTCTTCCTTTTTTGAGTTCTTCTAGGATGAAAACACGGTTCTAATACTAGCGAACTCCGATTTTGTATCAAAAGAAACCTTGAGCTTTCGAGTTAATGATGGATTCTTGATTTGATTCGGGGCATAACAAACCCTAGAATTGAGGAATTTGAGAAATTTTGGGGTCGACTTCGTTTCTATTGAGCCAATTCTCCCCAACTTCACCACAGACTATAATTTTAATTTGGATTATTTGTATAAAAAAAGCTCAAATCTTTAACGACGGAAATTTGACTTCATATCTCTCATAATTGTCGTAATTGCATTTCTTCTTTTTCCTTTTTAGAATTATGCACCTTATTTTAGTTCAAAATATTTCGTATCTTGAATTTTAATTTAAAATCTGCCGCAAACCCCATTGACTTGTATAAAATTAACAATTTTGAATTATTATTTAAAGATTGTTCAAAATAAAATTAATCAAGTAATTTAAGCTTACAAAAAATTAAATTTGTTAAATTTGTTGTTTTATGTTAAACTTTTAAGTAGCCAATAATTGTTTTAGTGTTGGATTTATTTTAATGGGTTTGTTTTGTTGAGAATATTAATCATTCATATAGTTTTAAAATAGAATTTATTTTAATTTTTCCAGATGATTTGATTCGTTTTAAAATAACTATGTGACTTTAAACTTTATAAATATTTTGAAGGAATCTCAATATTTCAGAAAAAGTGTCGGCATTTCATTGTTTGTTAACAAACGATCTAATTAGTTAGTGATCATAAAACAAATTAAATTTAAAATTACAATTTGATGAATACAAAATTCATTTAATTTATTTATATAATGTCTGTCAATGCCCGATCAAATTTTCTTTATTTTCTTCTACCTTATGTTATTCATGACACAATATAAAGAAAATGAGCATAATTAAAGATACAGACCAAAAAGTCCACACTGAATAATTTTTTTCCACGTTCACAAACATCATAGTTGAAATATTACGATACATCTGAACATAAGACAGGAACAAAGACGTAAAATTCACATGGCTTTTTAGCCAATTAGTTAAAGGAAGATTTACGTACATAACACTCAATTCCTCTGTGTTGACATATCTAACACCTAAAATTAAATTTTTACATACATACTGCCTTATACATGAAAAAATGGTGCCAAGATAAAGTTTAGCAAGACTATTTTAGCCCCAATTAAAAAAAAAAAAATTATGAAAACTATTTTTATACTTTTATGAACTCTAAAACTAAAAAAACCACAATGTAAATAGTCGGGACTACATTAACCCTTTAATCATTCATAAAAGTAAAAATGATTATATCATATCATATTGTAGTACTGGTATCTATGTAAATGCCCATTATTAAAACCGAAGCAAACACATCCCCTATTTAAAACTAAAATAAAGCATATATTCTCCTTCATATTTTGTCAACATTTTGAACGTGTGATCCTTTTTGAAGCGCATGGGCGACAAAATGGAACCAATTCTTGAGTCCAATAAACCCTATAGAGTTTAGATAACTTCATTCATAAGAAACTAAACCCAAACTTATGCAAAAACTACAGTGCAAGCATCATTAATAGGTTTAGAAATCTTCCGAAACGTAAGGTATATATATATATATATATATATTGTTGAGAAAAAACTACTACGTCCTTAACGGCTAATCCAAGTAAAATTAATTATTAGAATCTCAGACATAGAATCAAGATTGAATGAATGGCTAGGATTCAATCAAGCAAGAATCTCAATGATTTTGAATAAAAAAACAATTCAAATTAAAGCTCATGCAGTCAGCAAACCAATATGTGCCATATGAAACATCCAACAGATTACTATAAGATGCTAAAGTGAAATTGCTCCTAATACCCAGGCGCAGCGTGAACAAAGTCCACAAAATGATATTTATTCGTACAAATTCATGTGATGAGTCAAATCCATTCTTGTAAAGTATGCTTCTCAGACCACACAACTTTAATATATTTGTCAATATGGCATAATATATTTAATATCTCAGACCACACAAATCTTTTTTTTTTTTTTTTTTTTTTTACGTGATACAAATAATTTGCCAGTAATAAATGTAAAAAAGCACACTTTAGGTGTTAGATATACAAATAGAGAAGGATTGGGTGGAGTGTATGTAAAGGCCCCATTATAAAAATATGTTGAGTGTTCATGGTGTGTAAAGTCATTGGTATAAATAATAGAGGCATGTAAAAATCAGAAGAAAAAAAAGAGTCACAAAACAGAAATAGACACCTGCAACTCCATGGACAGCATAAAACTTCCAATCCTGCTCACTATAAGAAGATCTATACGGCACAATGATAATAAATTTTCTAGAAACCTTTCTGCGGTCAGAAAATATTTTTAACTCGGCACGCACAAAATAAAAAATAAAAAAAAGATATTACAATCCTCAGAAAATATATCAGAAAAAAGAGAGATTTCGCTGAAGCACATATAGAGACAAAACTTACCAAGACATATTTAGCCAATATTTTAAGATATATTAGGCATCCTTAATTCCCATTACTCCAGTCAGCATCAAGCAAAGAAAAATATCTTGATGAAAATAGCTAAAACAAACTGCAATACTGAGGCGCCGATAACCCAAAGAAATAGGCTGTGCTGTCCCTCGGTGTAAGGCTTCAGATTTAGAGCAATGAAGTAAGCTGATGCAGACCCAGTAAAAAGTATGATGATCCACCTCAAAATCTCAAGGGGAATTACCAGCAACAACTAAAAATAAAAGTTGGAGAGATTATATAATCAGCTCAAGTAAGAAAAGATTTTCATTCTCAACAAGATAAAATTGTTCATATCATGCTCTTGACAATGAGAAACTAGCATGGCATGCTATCCTTAAATTATAGGGGCATTTACATTCATATCAAAAAAATTTTATGTATTTACATATATAACACATTGGTGTAATAAATCTATGTATGAAAAGGCAGACGGTGATATTTTTGATGTGACACTAAAAATTTGAATGGAATGCATGTAAATATGAGAATTAAGGTGTTAGATATGTAAAGTCGTAAGAATTGTCTCATATCTATGTAAATAACCCTAAATTATAATAGGAAGATTTACATACATGGAATCTAATTCTCATGTATTTACACCTCTAACACCCAAACTTCAGTTTTTACGTATATGCCACCTTACCTTGCATGCAAAATATGCATTTCACTTTTTTAAAGTTGAAATGGCAGTGTTTTTTATGTGATGTGAAAGATTTTATTGGTATAAATGTAAAAAAAATTTAGATGTTAGATATATAAATACATAAGAATTGGGTGGTATGTATGTAATGCCCCGTTATAATAATAATGTTACATAATTACAGAAGAAAGATGTAGTTTTAATGGGCACACGCCTAAATCATAAGTTCAGTAACCTTCGTCATCATCATTGTAAACAAATTTGGGATAATTTTATAATGTTATTAAACTTGCTTGTAGCTTCTTTCAAAACAAAGTAAATAGACAAAATAAAAACCACTTTAACAACTGACCCAAAACCAGTCAAAGGGCAAAATATGCACTATGGGATGAGAGCTTGATAAAATAATATTTATTGGGTTCAGAGTTAGATCCTTTCATCCGAACTCTTTTTTTTTTATATAAGAAAAGGCTCTCAAAAAAATTGGCAAGGAAATCAGCCAATTTGACCAAACGCAGTTACTTATGGTGGTCCACAGAAGTTTCAGCTTTTTCTAAGCATGGTTTGACGAAAGCAAATGGACTATTTACATCTATTAAATTTGGAATATACTCGTTCGACACATCAGCTCAAGCTAAACTAAAGTCTTTAATCATACAAAGCAATCACTGTCGAGTTTTCCTAAATCTAGTATAGTTTGTGCATGGATCCCAAAGGCTACTTCTTGGTGAGAGAAGTTTTGACCACAGTGAAAGTGCAAGCTATGGAGAATTTCAATGAAAAACTATTGGATTCTGCAAATACAACTCGATTACGGAGAGATTTATGGTGACGAGCTTTGTTGCATGGCTAACAACATAAAGTAAAAGAAAACTATTACTTCCCATCATTTTTCCTTTTTTTTTTTTTTTTTGGTTTTTTTCTCCTTTGGAGTTAATTTGGCATTATTTTTTCTGCTTTACTGCTTTTTGTTGGCATAGATAGCCCAATAGTTGTGAAAGTGATTAATCTTCCGAACAAAAGGGAACAACATTGGAAAAAAAAAACAAAGTATTCTTAATTTTGAGAGATTCAAATCTTGTTTTATATATGTCGGCCGTTTTATTTTTTATTTTGAAAAATATAGGAAAGTATAAAAATAGTTTTGATATGAATATGATCTTTTTGATTTTTGAAAAGTAACTTTTAATTTAGAAATAGGTGAGACCAAACGAGTCTCACATTTTGAATAGTTTGGGTGACTAAGCATGATACCACAAATAATATATTTATTCCGAAGAATAAACATGCCACTTGTAGTAGGCTCAATCACCTAAACTAAAGAGTTTGTTACATCCGTTTGATCTGCAAAATATTTTATATGAGGCCAACAAGTTCCCCTACCTAATATGAGGATTAGATAGGGTTTATTTTACCTGGGTTTCAAGTTCCCTATAGAGGCAAGCCCCCATAGTTAATTACATCTTAAATGACTGGAATCACTTAAGAAAACTCTCGATTAAGATCAGTGATTTTACTTTTTCCAAGATTGGACACGGGAAAATCAAATGAAAATGGTTCAAAATAGGAACAGTTATTTTACGGAATCCAAAGGAGCGAAGGGTAGGGGATATCACTGATCCAGGAAGACCCCGGTGACCTCCCAATTATCATACTGTTTGGTTTTATATCTTGAAATTATATTATTTAATGTTTAATCCTGCAATTTATTTAGAATTTAGAACTTATATTTGTACGATAAATGATCGTGCAAATAGCCTAAAAAGAAAGCAGGATTTACACCGTACCGTACGTTAACCTCGGAATCCTAAAGTGTTAGGACTTATAATTGCACAACAGGGTTGTGCAAATGCCTAAAAGTGATATGTGAGGGTTTTGTCGCACTAAGCAGATAACGCTACGCTAAGCAAACTACCTCGAACTCCTACGGGTTTTTATTTAAACTAAGGGAAGTAATCAATGTGAATGTGTTTTGATATTGCAAATCCAACTTGAAGTTGTTCCTCGTCGTGCTGCCCACAGTGTTCGCACCAAAGCTCTTCGTTGTAGCACCTCCGGGTTTAGTGTTAATCCTATATAACCGCTAAATTTTCTTATACTAAGGTATAATGTGTATCAAAATAACAAAACATGCAGTATAAAAGAAAATAACAGTAAAATGTACAGTAAAAAGAAAGAACAGTATAGCATGCTGAAAGAATAGTATAATGTGCTAGAAAAAACAGTATAACATACTAGGAGAATAATACAACATGCTAAGAAATAAAAATGTTGCAATGTAAATCACACATGTATATTTGAGAGGTTTGCTGCTCCTTTAAGCTAACTAGTATTTACTGTATAAGCAAAAGAAATATTGTCTGGAAAACTCGAGAAATCAACAAATAATCCCCGATGAAAAATTCGAGAAAATTGACGAATAACAATCCAAATAAAACTATCAAAAACCTTGAGAAAATCCCGGAGAAAAGACCACGAGTGCTTTTTCCAAAAATTTCAAGAAAAACATACGAAAAAGTCTGAAAAGAGGGGACTGCAAGCACTCGGGTCGGGGCTAGGTTCAAATATATATATTTGTACTCGAGGGTAGTCGAAGTCTACTCGGTCACCCTAAAGTATAAAGCCCGTCACTCCATTAGAAGAATATCCTACTGAACCTAACTTAAGAGGGTATTTCTTAGCCCAGGATCAATGATCAACAAGTGGACAACCCGAATATAACATATTTTAAAATTTAAGTTTTAGCATGCATATATGTTTCAAGCATGCAAAAGAGAAGTTGTATCAATTTTTGTAGTGAAAATATTTTTTATAAATATTGTATATGTTCTTATCAATTTGTTTTATCAATTTTAAAAGGTATAGTTGTCCAAAAGCCGATCACGTCATCGGGCATAGGACTACCAACAACCTAAGAAGGTACGAGTTTTCCTCTAGCCTTATATCAGTGAATGATACTTTCATCCTGCAGTTATTAGGTCCCAGAATTGAGTCATGGTGTTGTAGGATGAGGTATCATTTTGCTCTACCACCGGCGTGCCTTTGTCATCATCACCCTACGTTCAAAATAAAACCGACTTACTTGCGACCTTGTTTGATGGTTTCACATATAGCAAAAAGCTATACATGAGCACTTATGTATCGGACATAAGCATAAAAAATTGAACCAATAAAAAATTGAATAAGCATAAAAAATTGAACCAAGAAACAAGGAAAAAAGAACAAAAATGGGGATGAGAGAGAAAAGGAATTGATTCACCCAAAAGATCGAAAGACAAGAAGGGTCAAAAATCCTCAAAAGAGAGCTCAAGATTCTTGAATCAATCCAAAAAGGATATCATTTTCTTAAATTTTACGATTGGATCAACCCATGAAGGGTATCCTTTCCAAGATTTTGTTTCAAATAGATTGAAATAGGCTCAAGACTATCATAACGCTATACTCACAACTCCATCACTCATATGAATTTTTATGTCCAAATCTGAACCTAAATGTGATGTTTATATTTATCAAGCCTTCATATTCTCTTTTCAAACACCTTCACAAGCTTTCAAATCATTGCATAAATCCAACCTACATCAACTTCATGATTTCCCAAAATGAAGTTTCAAGAGCCTTTTACATGTCACAAAATAAGAGAGACTAATCAATAGAGGGGGCAACCTTCTAGCCTTCCAGAAAATCATGTCAATATCAAAATAATTTAAATCCAACCTTGATTAAAAGCTTTTCATTTTGCATAAACATGAGATTATCCAAATAGAACGATATAAATATTCATAACCAGAGGCCACAGAGAGGGACGACTATCAACCCAACTTATTCCATGAAAAGATCAACAGGTAAGGCTCTCGGGTAAAGCAGAAAAGAGGGTAGGGGCTCTCGGGTCAGACCAGGAAAGGGAACAAGGCTCACGAGTAAGGTTAGAAAACGCACAACCAAGCTCCAACTCGCTCACGGGTAGGAGCCAGAACAAGCCAAACCAAACCCCATATAAGAACTTCACGGCCATAGATGGCAAGGAGGAACCCAACACAACACAAACCAACGGATAGGGACAAAGAAGAAGGTCCCAAAGGCAGCATAAAGAAACCACCATAAGTACTACCATTGCATTGTTTTGAAATACATAAGAGAGTGAATGAACAAGCTATTATACATCATTGAGATCGAACCCACTTTCATCATATAAAGCATGCATGAGCATATAAAGCATGAAAACACTCATATCAAACATTCCCACCTAGAGATAGATATTACATGAATTTTTGGATGACAAACTTAATTACCAATAAAAATCTTAGGAGGAGGAATATTAAAGAGGAGACCCCAACCAAACCATGCAAACCGAGCTCGAGGAATGGACCAATCAATAAAGGATTTCAGCCAACATAGATCATCAAAAAGGAGCCCAAACTGAGCCCAAGAAAGGGGCAAACCGAGCCCAACACAGGGGGCAAACCAAGTCAAGAAATGGTCCAAACAGTAAGGGATTTCAGCCAACATAAATCACCAAAAAGATTCCCAAACCGAGCCCAAGAAAGGGGCAAACCGAGCCCAACACAGGGCAACATAAATCGCCAAAAAGGAGCCCAAACCGAGCCCAGCACAAGGGACAAACCAAGTCCAAGAAATGGTCCATACAATAAGGGATTTCAGCCAACATAAATCGCCAAAAAGGAGCCCAAACCGAGCCCAAGAAAGGGGCAAACCGAGCCCAGCACAGGGGAGAAATGGTCCAAACAGTATGGTCCAAACAGTAAGGGATTTCAGCTAACATAAATCACCAAAAAGGTGCCCAAACCGAGCCCAAGAAAGGGGCAAACCGAGCCCAACACAGGGAGCAAACCAAGTCCAAGAAATGGTCCAAACAGTAAGGGATTTCAGCCAACATAAATCACCAAAAATGAGCCCAAACCGAGCCCAAGAAAGGGGCAAACTGAGCCCAACTCAGGGGAAAAAACCAAATCCCATAAAAGATAAAATTCAGCCCAAGTCTACCACAAAAAGAAGTTCTCAAAGGAGCCAAAACTGAAATCCATAAAGACTCAACACAAAAAAATTTTCCAGCACATATTCAATCTCCAAAGGAGCAAAAAAAAAAAACCGTGGCCTATAAAGGCTTAAAGCAAAGAAAACATCCAACTTATATGCAGTCCCAAATGAGCCAAAAATCGTGGCCGAAATAAGGGACAAAACATAATATAATTTCAGCTAAACCGAGCCTAGCTTCAGGCCAAACCGAAACTAGCAAAAGGGAGCAAAAACAGAGAAACATTCCAGGTAGATCGAACTCATCAAATGGGTCAAAAAAGAGCCATAAAAATCAGATTTCATAAAGCCTTAGACTTCAAAATTTCTTGCACCCCAGCATATGTTTTAAGCAGGAATTGATAACAGGAAATAGATAAGTGTAATGAATCCCTAAAGCCAAATATTTCTTAGTATTGAAAAGAATTTCAGCACTTCCTTGATTCGGAAATAACAATAATAAAAGACTTCAGCATTTCATTTCCAACATGTATTCTAATAAGGGACCCCAAGAGAAGCAATAAACGAGCCCCAAACATAATTTTCCAACTCATAAAAAAAATAATTTTCAGCATGTATTCTTACAAGGGGCAGCAAGAGAAGCAAGAAATAAACTCCAAACATAATTTTACAAGTCATAAAAAAAATTTCCAGCATGTATCAATACCTAGACTTCAAAATAAACTAAGTCATTCCTCCTTTAACCTTTGCAAGAGGATAGAGATGCCCCAACATGTCGTCCTAGATAAAATATAATAAAGAGAAGGAGAAGAATACCTCTTTTCAACAGATTTAAAATAAAATTAAAAGATAATTCCAGAAAAACCACTCCAAGAGAAATATTTCCCCTAAAAACTTCAAGAAACGACAACCACAAATGCTCCACGCCACAATCACCCGAAAATATAGCTTAGAGAGGACTTTCAGCAAAATAAACAGCACTCCACGAACACTTCACACTCCAAACGCACGAGAAAACAGATCTAGAGAAGATTTTAGAATAATTTTCTTCCCTAAAAGCCTCCCACAGCAGAAACACAGCCTCTCCTTTCTCTCCAAAAGTTTTCAACAACCTCACACAATAATCTCAGACGCATTTTCATAGACAGATAAGAGAAAATAGACCTCCACCTACCAGCCACACTGGCCAACCAATCAAGAAGATAGAAAAGAAGCATCACAATAAAAGGGAAGAGTGTATAGCCTCGAGTAGAAGGAGCGTTGGCCAGCTCGCCTCCTCTAATTGGAGAGTCGAACGGTTGTCGTGCCACGTAGAGAAGGGGAAGCGACGGGAAGCAGAAGGCCGCGTGGATCCGCCGTGGAGCTAGGGCACGGAAGCGAGAGGGAGAATCAAGCGTGAGCTCAAGCCCTGTTCGAACCTGTGAATGGGTCAAACAGGGAGAAGAGGTGCGGGTGGAGCCGTAAATAAGGTTTAGGGTTTAATGTAAAATTTATAAAAGTATTTAATATTTTAAAAAATAAAAACTGAGTTTGCATTTTATTCTTGCGTCTAAACGTAACAAGATTGGTAACATTTTTACATAATTCTGACGTTTCGGACGAGCTGGCGCGATCTGTTTCGCCATCGGAGGTCATTTTGATGAATTCATCGATTTGCGTGTAAATTTTTTCGTGTCGAAAATATGTTCGTGTCGGAAATATGGCAATATGAGTGTCTTTTCCTACTAAAATTAGTGTCCCGGATGCGTTGGCGCTGGACGCGTTGGCGCAGTCCAATTTATCATCGGAGGTCGTTTGGAGAAGTTTGCATTTTCACCCATCCTTTGGACTTAATTGAAGTCTAATCCTGTGCAACTTAGCGAATTTTGTGCATTTGGTGTGTGTATGTGATGACAAAGTCGCGATGAGGTTTTCCTAGGGCTTGAGGTCCTATTGGGAACTTCTCCTTGAGTCTCCACACAATGACCATTAACCGTTCGTCCATAAGACGATGGTTTTGAGACCATAAATGCTAGACATCACAGGAAAATAGGAATTGTTTTGGAATTTCTAAGGGGACAGGTTTCAATGTTGGTTTTCTAAGATAGTCAATAGAAAACTCCTAGAGCTAGATCTTAGGCTCTAGGGAGAAGAAGGAAAGACCTCACAAAAATGAGGTCAACAATATACCATTAAAATAATATGATCAATAATTTATTTTTAAATTTTAATATTTAAAATCATATAACACTAAATTCTACTAAACTAAATGATACAGATTTTGTATTTTCATTTATATTAGAATTAAGTTGTATAAATATAAATCCTCCTTTCATTTATTACAACAACAACAACAAAGCCTTAATCCCACTACGTGGGGTCGGCTACATGAATCATTTTCTCCATTGCGTCCTCCATTGATTTAGTGTCATATTTTCATTTAGTTCTAGTAAATTAAGATAATTTTTAATACAATAAGCCCAAGTCTTCCTAGGTCTACCTCTGTCTTTCTTAACACAAGTCGAATCTAAAACATCTACTCTCCTAATCGGATCATCTGATGGTTGACGTTTAATGTGACGCATTTTAGAAAGTGCATTTTAGAAGTATTTAAAAATAATTAAAAGGAATAACTTTCTTGGAGTAAGACTGTTGAATTTTAAAAAAGGACAAGAAGCTAATCTCCAATTATTAAGAAATGCAAATTAAAACTTTGAAATTACAGAGTTTGAAGTGAGCTATTAGGATGAATTGAATTGAACACATGGCATCGAAAGTTCTAGAAAAATGAAGGAAGCAAGGATCAAAATATCTAATAAAAAAAGACAATAAGTGGTGTTAAAAGTTATGTTAGGACTTTATTTATTTCTTATTATTTCTTATTTATGTATTTTCTTTTATTTCCGGCTTGTTATAGGAGTCTTTTTTTTTTAGTTTATTTGATTTGATTTTTGTCATATTCGATATATGGGTGTTTTTCTTTTTTTTAAGTTTAGAATTCCAAATAAGTTGTATTTAAGCCAGCATTTCGTATTAAAAAAAAAAGTATTATGCTCAATTCTTTAAATCTACATGTGGGTTTGTAGATGGAAAAAAAAATAGCAAATAAGAAAATTTATTAAATGGAAAAGCTTGAAAAGCTAAGCATTCAGGATAATGAGGGGAAAAAAATGATTGAAAAAAATAATAATTGAGCATTACTTGGAACTAAGGGAAGGCTTCAAGGTGTACACTTACAGAGGTTGGAATAAAAATGGAGAGTGAGTACCCCCAAATGCACCAGAGTTGTATAAGCCCGACATTACATTCAAAGTAACGGAGTAAAAAGTAAAATGCAGCCGGCACTGCAAGCACGTAACAATATATGATAGAAGCTGCCCAGTCTACATAGTTGACATCAAAATTCCATGCAATCTCTGCTTTACTCCCATTGTTCATCAAATAAGCAGCACAATTTCCCAATGCAGAAAGCATGAACACCAGCGTGGTAGATATCCAGACAGGACCATACCTGATAAAAGTTTAATTCCTTCACCAAGTAGTGCAGAAGCAAAGATCATAATAGACAGCTAAACAACATCATATTCCACATTTGTTAACATTTCAAGCCATAAAATATGATTGGTACTTTCAAGAGTATAAGTACAAAATATGTAGGTTTAGTGGGTGTGAAATTGATAATTATATGTTGACATCAGTAGAAGACCATGACTTAGGTGTGATGCTTTAAATATCATGGATCTATTATAAAAATAATATTAATATATCTAGAGAATTTTCGTACGAAAGAAAAAAAATGGCATACTTTGATTTGCTTCATCAATTCAACCTATTTTTATTTACAACTTACAAAATAATGATGATTAGTTAAAATGAAGATGTATCTTATACATATTAAACCAATATCCTAGAGGACAAATGCTAAAACGTAAATTTTATAAAGCTGTACTTAGGACAGTAATGTTCTAAAGATCCAAATATTAGGCGATAAAGAAGATTATGACAACTTAATTAAGTTTGACAAAGATAAGACTCTTAGGTAAAAATGTCGCAAAATAAATAAAGATAGATTGTATAAATCTGATTGCAAAAATAAAACCCATGAAAGATAGTCAAAATAATCTTAAATCTATGTTCAACACCTTTCCATCTAAACAACAACAACAACAAGAGCAATAAGTCTGCATCCCATTAAGCGGGGTCGGCAACATGAGTCATTTTTCTCCATTGCGTCCTATTGAATGCCATACTTTCATTTAATTATTATAAATTAAGATCATTTTTTATACAATATGCCAAAGTCTTTCTAGGTCCACCTCTGCCTTTCTTAACATAAGTCGAATCCAAAACATCCAGTCTCCTAACCAGATCATCAGATGGTTGACATTTAATGTGACCAAACCATCTAAGACGACTCTCTCTAATTTTGTCCGCTACTATATCTACACCAACTCTATCACGGATATATTCATTTAGCATTTTGTCTCTAACTGTCAAGTCACTCATCCACCTAAACATTCTCATCTCGACAACACTTAACTTTATTTTATGCTTCTTTTTTAGAAACCAACATTATGCGCAATAGGGCATTGCAGATCTCACCACCATCTTATAAAATTTTCTTTTCAGTTTAAATGGTACTTTTTTATCACACAATAGGCCTGCAGCATTCCTTCACTTCAACCAACCAACTTGAATTCTACTAATAACACCTCCATCTATATGACCATCACTTTAAATAATAGACCCGAGAAATCTAAAGTGTTCACACATTTTAATGATTTGATCACCCATAGTTATGACTCTGCCACTATATCTACTACTAAAATTACATTCCATGTATTCAGTTTTAGATCTACTCAAACGGAAGCCTTTAGACTCCAATGTAGACCTTCATAGTTCAAGTTTTTCCTTAACACTTTATCTAATCTTATCCACAAGAAAGATATCATCGTTGAAAAGCACGCACCAAGGTACATCCTCCTGTAAATGTCGAGTAAGAGCATTTATAACTGAAGCAAAAGGATATGGGCTTAACGTTGATTCCTGATGTAATCCAACTGAAATATAAATATATTTAATCAATACTCCTATTCAAACACAAGTAGCAACCCTAGTATACATATCTTTAATGACTTGAATACAATTCATATCGACACCTTTCTTCACTAAAACTCTCCAAAGAATTTCTCGTGAAATCTTATCCTAAGTTTTTTTCTAAATAATAAAAATCATATGTAGATCCTCCTTATTCTCTCTGTACTTCTCCATCAAACCTATCAATAAATGTATAGCTTTCATAGTAGACGTGCTCAGCATAAATCCAAACTGATTATGAGAAATCTTTGTCACATGCCTTAAACTAAGTTCAATTACCCTCTCCCATAATTTTAAAGTATGACACATTTTAATTCCTCTATAATGTGCACACTCTTGCGTATCCACTTTATTCTTAAAAATTGTGACCAATTTTTAGTTTTAAAATGATATTAAAAAGTATAATAAGCCAAGAAACCCTCAAATCTCCTAAACAATTCAACAATTCAAAAGAGATATCATCATGTCATACTGATTTTCCACCATTGGTTTTCTTTAAAACCTCATTGACTTCTTTTTTACTAATGTGACGATAAAAATAAATTATTTTATTAATATTAACGATATTAAGATTACTTAGGTCAATCGTATTTTCAAAAACTTCTTTGAAAAGTTTATCAAAATAGCCCACCCACCAATCTTGAATATAGTTTTCTAAGGAAAAAAATATTTTTTTTTCATTTTTAATACACTCTACTTGAGTTAAATCTTTGCTTTTAATTTCTCTTTGCTTGGTTAGTTTATACATGTATTTTTCACCCTCTTTAGTATTTAAACTATTATAAAGATCACTAAAAACAGAATTTTTAGCATCACAAATTGTTCTCTTAAACTTTTTAAGGGTCACTTTATATTTTTCTCAGTTTTCAAAGCTTTCATAATTAAACAAATATTTAAAACACTTTTTTATATTTTATATTTTCTTGCACATTATTATTCTACCACGAATTATTTTTATTTATAGAAAATTTTCATTTTGATTCTCCAATTATATATTTTGTCACATGTTTAATAGTATTTGTTACTTTGTCCCACATAGAAATTGTTTTGTTATGAACATCTCAAATCATGAAATCTTGGTGTTTACAAATAAAAAAAAGTTTTATTTGTCTTTTAGGTGCTCCATCTAATTCTATGACAATGATTCCTAGTATTATTTATCTTACAACTCTTCATCTTAAAATTTAGAACTAATAATCGATGTTGAGTACTTAAATTCTCACTTGGAATAGACTTACAATCTTTACATTTTCAACGACCTCTTCTTCTCATAAAAAAATAATCAATTTGTATTTTATTAGATTCATTCTTATGAGTAATAATATGTTCATCTTTTTTCTTAATTAAAGCATTAGCAATAAAAAAATCATTCACAACATTTCCATCTATAGCAATCCAAAAAACCGACAAAACAACTTTCCTTCTGCAACAATTCAGCAAGCCTATGACAACTTCATTTACAATCCAACAATCCATGAACAAAATTTCAATCATAGTAATCTATCAATCCATTAAGAAATTTCTATTTAGGTTGGGTAGAAAATTTTGGATTCCACGATGAAAAGCTGCTTCTAAATTTATTTCTTTCATAAATACTTCTATCTCCACCTACTTATGCAAAACTTCTTAGCATGTCGTCAACACAAAACAAAAGAATAAAATTAGTAATAAAACCTCTCATTTTTACCCTCCTCATTTTGTATTCTAATTTTCAAGTTGGTATCAAAGCCATTAAAGCTTTATTCCCTATGAGATCAATGGGTATTTCAATATAGAGTCTCTCCTCCAAACCAATAGGTTCTTCACTAAGAATGAAAGCCACTCTTCTTCTAACAAGAGTAGCAAAAACATATTTGAAGAATCCTCCATAAAAATAGATAATTGTCACTACCACAAACAAGCTAACAATCAAAGACAACTCAAACGTTGACAAATCAATCTCAAACTGAAAAATTCATATCCAAATTTAAAAATCTACGATAAAATACCTCAAAATCTCAAAAAATAACTAGTAACAAAGACAAATCACAGTATCTCTCCCTTTCTTGTTTCAAATATCTGGACAGCAAAATAAAGACAACCGATAATGCTTCCGATAGAAGCTTATTCTAGAGCATCAATGAAATTAGCTTGGATACTCGAAAAGATAAATTCTCAAGTGCCCTCATTGCAAACAAGAAAATAGCTACCACTTCGATAATAGACTTAAGAGCATTAAATCATACGATAGAACCCAAAAATGTCTCCCATAAGTACAACCTAAATCATTAAAATTATAATGTTTGGATAACATATGGGACACAATCAAAATAATTGCAGAAAATTATGTCATCTTCTTAAAAGTTCTTACACTTGGCTCTATGCTTATAGCGTCTAACTTAGATTGCAACTTAGGATCAATCAACAGAATTATTTGAAACAAAAACTTTGTTACTAATTTCTCATAAAGTATTTGTCACTTGTAAGGCTTGAATTCAGGAAGGATAATTGGTAGTGTAAAAATTTGTACACAACATCAAATACCGAAAAATGATCCCTCAAATAAAATAAAAACCCAACTAAAGGGTTGTGCAGTCACTAAAAACCCAACTTCACATTCTTAACAAACTTCAAATGATGATAATGATATTCAACTTTGATCCTCGTATCCAAGGCACCCAAACTTTACTTACCTTAATTGCTTATGTCGATGAACAAAAATTTAAAGGACTTCCAGTGAGAAATTTATCACCTGGATAAATATACTCTCTACAAATCTTCTTAACTTTTAGCTCTATTCCACATGATTGCAATGCAAGATTCTTTGTTTCCTCCTTCAATGACCACATCCATCTCACTTAGGTTTTCGTGAAGAAATAAAAACTCAAAATGAGACAAATTTTTAAACATTTCAAGGTCATGACCACGTTCAATTTCAATACATAATTCAATTCCAAAAATTGATAATGCCAAAAAATATTCATCAACAAAATGGAGTGGTTGCTAATAAAAAAATACACCTATTAAATGTGGATAGCATTAATACTCTCCATGAATATTCCAACATATCTTTTGAGAAGCTATCCTAATAGTTAAATTATATGAATGCCCTTAATAGTACTTAAATTTAAAAATCTTGTTCAAATCCTTCACTACTTATCTCCTAAGACAAAAAATCATTTCCTCTATTACGCCAAACATTTGGGGTGTTCAATCTTCATTCAATCATTCCCAACACTAAAACAAACTAGACCCTAAATCAATAAGGCATCTTCATTAAATATTTCCCAAATCAAAGGGTAAAAACTATATTCCCCGATCACTAAATATAATTTATAATCTATGTATAAAACGGTCCTTGAACACTCATCCAATTATTACAAACCCAAAATTTAGGGAGGAGAGGGGGGCGGGGGGAGGGGGTGGAGTTCATTA